ACCGACGCTATAATACGCACGTATATGTTTGTATGAAGACATTACAACGTATTCAACACGATCAATGTCAATACAGCCACGCTATATACTTGGATGTCAGCTCATTCTGTGTGTGCTACAAAATTAATGTACTACTCGCCCAAAATTTTATAACTTCAGCCAATATTTGCGTACGTCCATCAAAATAAATTAAGAATTCCTGTTTATTTTAGTACACTGCTGCATGCTGAGACTTATTTTCCTAATCATGTCTTCACAGCAGTTTTGTTGTAGATGTCCCTGAAGTATGAAATTTTGCATAAAAACCCGTATGCACAAATAGCAAACAAAATAGCTTTCATTTTCAACCTACGAAAAACCCCAAGGCACATTCATACGTACGTGCAAACAACGTACGTAGTAATTGAATCAAAAGTTCTACGTTTGTATGAAGACAAAATTCTAGTGATACGACCGTATTTGGTAGCAGCGGCCTCAGGGTACTTGGCTGCTTGCACGTGTGACCACTATAGGAAAAATGCCCCCGGTGTTTGCTGGGTACCATGGCTAACCTCACATGGCGATGCATACAATAGTTGGCATTGGGCAAACGTGTGCCACTTAGTATTAGTTGGCGTCTGTGGAGAAAAGTTACGCTGCTGCTACATGCCTAAATGGGTTACGACAAATGCCTTACATCTTTGAACAGGAAATGCTGGTCGCAAATAAATGATTCGCACCCCAGCAAAGAGCCAAGGTTTTGATATCCGTGCCTGGCGCACGGTCCAAACACGCAAATCAAGTTCCCCACCGCTACCCAGCGGGCGCCATGGCAACAGCATCAACAAGGTAAACAAATCCCTGGGTGTGATGTGTACATGCACGTGTGCCTATTTCCACTCCCACACACACACACACACACACACTCACACCACACACACACACACACACACACACACACACACACACAAACCAACAGAGTGCGTCGCAGAAATTCTCTTTAGAAGATAGAGGAAGTTCCGTAGACAAAGCAAATGACGGGACCATTCACTGACACCAAAGGACCACCATTTAGACCCATATTCATGTTGACAAAACACCGTTTATTACCTCAACCGCGTATCTACGTACGTACCTAGCGAAAGCTGCCGCTGTATCCATATAAGGATAGAAGTGCATTCCAATTACCAAAACTTCAAAGGAACATTATAACGGTCGTTGACAATTTTTTACATTTTTTGCTGCGGCTAAAAATGGACACTTGCTACGGTCTGGTGCTAATCAACATGTTGTTTAATCTATACTCCTTATAAATGTATTGTCTCAGAATGCTACACTGTAACACGAGATATTGCGGTATATCTCAAGGTCAAAATCGCCACAAATACAGGACGGCCTACAAGTTACGTTGTTACGCAAGTTACTCTGTCTACAAAGGAAGGACGCAAACGTGCCTGAAAATCAGACTGTGACGTCAAAACGGGCAAAGTTTTGGGTCATAATCTTTGTCACTTAGCAGCTAGTAGCAGCTCACAAGAATTCTCACCACAGGCAGACACAAAAGGGAGCTCAATAAACTGCAGGGTTGCCAAGTAGTCAACAAAACAAAACAACGCGCAGTTGCCAAGTGACCAAACAAACACAGACGTAGAGAACTAAAACAAATCGTAAACCTGTTCACTTGTGCCAGGAAATGTATTAGTTCTCATTGTAGAGCGTCGAAAGTTCCTATTAATGTAACATCCTGTTTCAACACCTTTTGCGCTAAGTTTGTATCCTTAACTAGTGTGCATTCTAGTGATAATTAGTGATTTAGATCTTGTAAAGATATTGATGTTTATGTGGTTAGTTTCGCACTGCGCGCGTCCTTGTGCAAAAAGTACGTGCACAAGATTGAGACCAAAAAAAAGCAGAAATTGATGTATAAAGTATTAGCGCCTAGTATTACAACATATGAATGCCGCCCACCGGCGCTAAAGTGTGTACGAGTTTCCCAGTTGTAGTTGGGTGTAGCCTTGAGGCGTGGCTGGCTGCTATTTCTGAAAGAGACGCGCGAGAGCTAAGTAAACGCAAAGCGTTTGCTTGTCACATACGCTGTGACATCCGTCCGCAATGAGTTAAGGAGTTATGGAGGCTCTGGACACATTTATGTGTCCGTTGATGGTTAAGCGTTAAACTCTCCTAGACTTGTGCTACCATTTCATTTCACGAGCAGAGTAATAAGTCACCGATTAAGAATTTGGACTTAAAGGCGTAGAGATTAAAGACGAGACAACGATCTGAATAGCACGTAAAATTTGTTGTGCGGTACGTCTGGTACTGAGTGGGTCAATCCATCGGCAATTGGCATGGAGACGAAAATGTTATTTTAGGGTCAAAACCGTTGCGAAACTATGCCGCTTATCTCAGCTGGACACCGCTGGCACCGGCTTATCAGATTGTGAGCGTAACTGTTCATAAGCCCCTTAATTAATAATGGCTCAATTGGCTTGATCGGTTTGTGTTTATGAATTAAGAGCCAAGGTAGGGAAATGTAATTTCAACAGAAATTCTATTTTTGAATAGCTCGAAGCTCTTGCCATAATAATATGCAATAAGTTGGCCAAAGCCAGTTGTATAAGAGGATATAGTCTTTATTTATGAGAAGCACTTTAACACACTGTAACTTGAGTAAATATGAGACAAAGTGTCCCAAATGCAGCCCTACCTTAGCCCCCCCTCCCCCCTTGCCTCCATGCTTAAATGGTAATATTATTGTTCAATCCTACATATAATATGCTGTCTCTCTAGCTAGGGAGGTGATTATTCATTTCTGGAAAGGGAAACTGACAGAGTGTAACACTTAATGAAATAAACACAACTATCTATCTATACCTACACCCGCGAAAATGTAATAAAGCCACGTCTCTATTGTAAGGTAACTTGGTTCTGCCCCATACTAATACTCCGCTATATATCACTACCTCCAAATAAGGGACACCTCTGAATAAAGGACACCACCCTTATTCAGAGGTTAACTGTATACTGCATAGTAAATACATCACGAACTATAGTCGATACAGTGGTAGCAGTCATAGGTAACGGTCTGAATACAATAGGCCCTGCTAATGGCCACAGCCATGTGCCACATTCCTAGCCATTGCAGACTCCACAAGAATTCCGCGAGTCTGTTTGGTGATATAAAACATGTGCCAGTGGGCGACTTCGCATGATATCAGTGCATTGAAGAACACTTCTATGGACCACATTTCTATGGGTTATCAAGGGCCTTATAATAATAGAAGTGATTTAATAGACTCCACCCTTATAATGACTAATACTAATACGGCTTGAAATGTATGTGCGTATGTGATCTATATCTGAGAACAACTCTTATCGCTCCCGTTCAAGTAGCAGCACGTGTCTGATTCCCGGAGCGGTAATCGTGGAATGGAAAGGAGTGTAAGCTTCAGGTTTTAGCAGACTGGACCTCTATCTATCAACTGAAGCCCGCATAAATTTGAGGCCCAAAGTCCTCTCCATTCTACTCCTATGGCCCCAGGTGTATCAGGCATGTGCCGCTGCTCAAACTTGCACGATAATGGTTGTTTTCTCGGAGCATGTATATACCTCGCAAGTAAATTCTTTCTAAGTCAGTTTTGGTGAATCATATCAGCACTAAGAACTGAGTTACGTATAATATGAGCACCCAAAGAAAAGCTCTTTTTCCACGAGTACATATAGAGTGTGGGTGAAGTGAGCCTTTCTAGTCAGCTCTATCGTTAGGTTTTCCTTATTATTATTGCCACTGCCTGCATACCAGGATGTTTTGCATAATAGATGATTTAGCAATGCAGCTGTCATGTGTGACTTTTGCATTGCGCTCGCCAAAGATGCACTGCGTTCATTCTACTACTTATACACTGCCAGTGGTAATCCAGACTGTCTACTTTCATCGGTCACTGCCTATCACTAAGTACGGTAGTACGTACTTAGTATATAGGGATGACACAGGTCGTCCTGCATTATGCCCATACATTTGAGATTTGCATGTTTCACTTTCACTCCATAACCAGAAACCGGTTTTTCTCTTGTGTAATCTTACGCACGAGGCTAAGAATTTCGTCTTTAATTTCTCGCCCTCAAGCCAAATTCAGTAAAGTAATTCAGGCACGTGACAACAAAAAGGTAGTAAAAAGACAAAGGACAAAGCAAACGAGTCAACTACGCCCATATATGTATGTTAATCAGCAGTCAGACACCTCAAATGTACGTACCAAGTGGCCCAAGCATTCTCTTCGAGTCGGAATTCTGCGACCGGACAGCTGGGAATGCCCGTTTCATCCAGGTGCGTGGTGATCACATATTGTGGTGGTAGCATTGATATATTGAGACTAAGCTGTTTTGCACGATCGCAGGTGAGAGACGAACCCAGAATGAAATCAGGTCGGTTGCGCAATCGCCCGCAATAACTCGAAAAGGGTGCCTTTGATGACCTACGTATCTTGTTTATATGTCACTTTTTGTTTTGGCGTAACAGAATAATAATATTAAGAGGTAGACATTAAATTGTCTTCTTTTGTTTTCCTGCACGACGCAGTATCAAATGTGCTTCTTACATTTCACTGTCAACAGCTCTATATTATACCAGCACCTCCAAATATAAGACACGATGGAACCATGAAAGTTGTCCTTCATACAGAGGGCGCCTTCACTAAACAGAATCACAACGATTATACTGGTCATGGAAGTTACTCCAGGACGTGAGATCATCGTGTTCGTGGCTCTTCGGAAAATTTTCCTTTTTTCTCGGAGGTTTATTATACACACTAGATCAAAACAAGTGTCCTTTGTACGGAGGTGTCCTTTATTAACATACATACACTATTTGCACCGGATTGAAACAAATAAAGGTGTTTCTTTAGCAGTTCTGAGTGTCCATTATAGAGGGGTTCTACTGTAACTATATTAGCTGGCTCCACCCACTGCTAAGGTGCAGTATAGTAGCAAACCACAATATTGGAAGTGCCATATATTATACCTCCGTGACTTATGATGAGAGAAGCTTGCTGCATATCTATCTTGATGGAGGGTTTGAGACTATAGTGGTCCACTGTTAAACCAGCTATACTCTGCGGTACACGTGCCTCGTCTCCCTTCCCGATCTGAAGAACCAATCGTGTGTATCCCTTAGCCACCAGCTCCTAAGGCAACAAAAACGTCATGTTGCGTTGTTATTGCACCGTACCATCGTACGGGCGGGCGGTAAACGTAACGTAGTAGATAAAGCAAGTATATTAGCTATACACTCATGTGTAACAGTACACATGAGTGTATACACAATGTCAAGGATCGTTACGTGCATAGACTGTACTCACTTTCATAAAGTTTTCCTCGGCTATTGAACCAACCAACTCGTCGAAGCTGGTGGTTCCGACCGTCACAAGCACGCTTCTTCCTTCCTCCGTCATACCACCGTCACAAACACCCTTCTCTACCGCAACGCACCCCTCGACCTGCACGCTGCGCGCGCCGCCGTATATACGCAGCGAAGACGGACCCCCACCGTGAAAAGTGGGCGTAGCTCAAAGGTAATACTACTGTGTGACTGGAACTTGTATTTTGTTTGTGTGGCATTTTAGGTCTATTACTCAGCCATTCTGCATGCTATGCACACAAAATACATATTGAAATGATGTATATAGTTGACAAGTCATGTGACAGTTATGTGAAAACAATGGTCACTGAATCAAGATCTTTCAAGAAAATCAGTTTCAGATTATTTCCTTAACACTGGGAGCTAAGGACTGAACTGGGGCATGCACAATCTCAGCTCACAAGAGCGTCTTTGGGGGTTGACAAATACTTAACACACTCGTAAGCTTGTGCGGAATCTAGCAAAATCGTGATTTGCGGAGGTCCACAGGAGACCTTCTTTTCAGCACAGAGATGCAGAGTAAAAAATATTCATGATGCATGAAAAATATAATATTTGACATGAAAATATTTTGTGTCATGGTCAAAGTGATATACTGTTGGTTATCCTGCGCCCTGCACAGCTACAAAATGAGAAACAATAAAAACTGCAAAATATATGCCATCTCTCTAAATCAAAATAATGACTGTGAACAAGTAGATTGGCTCTGCTCTAATGGAGTTTCGTGTGATAGTATAGCTCTGAAATAGGGAATATAATAGTCACTTATTTGCTGGAACGGCACCTCTGAACTGTAAGTGTACTTCAACGTAATTGCTAGAATCATAGCAAGACGGTCTGGCGTCATCTGAAGAAAATCCGAGGTAGCACTTGGGTTGAGGTGCAGCTATGTTGCTGGCATCAGACCCCTCTTGATGATGTGTCATGGTTACATTTCCATTCTCGGGTCTCGATTCGTATTCTGCACCCGATCCCACCCCGGAACCTGAGGCTGTAGAGTTTTCGCTCTCTTTTGAGCCATTCTGCATCGTGTTGCTCATTTGGTGTGTCATGTTCTGCGGGTAGACGGCTCTTAGAGCAAAGTAACCCCCGTTGGAAACGGGCTCCACTTCGAACACCTCGTTTCCATTCATTGGAATATCTCCACGAAATTTCCCTCTCGAATTGATCGTAAGGTACCAGTTTCTGTCGCTGTATCTCACCGACTTTATGGCCAGGCGCTCTCTGCCGTTGTGCACGTGGCGGTGAATGTAGAACTGGCTGACGAGCCGATCTGCAAGGAACAGAAGGGTTACATAAGACGTTATGTAACAATAACACATACTCAGACTCCGCGCGCTTACCTATGGGGTTATTGCCCGAGACTCTTCCACTCTTTGTGATGGCCACGAATTGTCCCGTTGCAGCGCTCAAGATGAGGTGGGAGCTAATCGTAGAGGACGAGTCGTTTGGAGCGTTTTCCACAATCCCGCCTTCGTCACCTTCTCCGTAAACGTAATCTTCGTAGCTACGGTACTGCCGATGGTCCGTTATGGTTGTTGTAGCGTCGTCCCAGCCGGTCGTTGCGGGTGCAGAAATGCAGAAGTGGAGCGCCAGTGCGCACCAGACTGTTGCGATTACTATGATATTCTGCATGGTATTATTTCTTTTCCAAAGTTGAGAACGACGATCAGTTGTGGAAAATCCTGTCGAGATTGTTGTGTGGACGTCGGAATTTCACACGCCTTTATACCTCTATTGCACGGAAGTTCTTGTTTACAAACTCTTCTCTGCTGCAGGCAAGAAACCCCATTTCAGTGGTGCAACTTTTATGGGCAAGGAATGTATCGGTCCAGGCAGAATCAAAGACACACGCCTTACGCACGCCTTCATTCATGAATGACGTGTATGCGGTCACCAATTAACTACACTCGCAACTCGCACGAGCTCGAGCGGGACCGCCAAATGTGCATCCTCAAGTGTACCAGGCACATTATTTTAGCTAGTCTTCGCTTTACACAATCGGCGCTACGTGCATGCACACGCGCCGGCCAGCACGCTGCATTGTAGTTGGTGTAGCAGAACGACTTTTGTCTGTCAAATCCTTTGTGCTTTTGACTGCAGTTCCCTAATTTCTGCTAGTCTGTGAAACACATTACACAAATCATTTTCATTAGCGAATTCACCCACACGTGTATAATAGTATTAGCTATCCAATACAAAAGCCAGGAGTCAGGAGAACCGGAACACCTGGGGTAATAATTGTATAGCAAGGGCAATTACGGTGTTTATCGGTCAGTGTGTTGAGCGTTTGCTAGAGTGTGAGGTCACGGGCGTGAATGACCATCTTCAGAGAAATGTCTAGCACCAACAATACTTCTCACAGCATTGCAGTATAGGCACTGTATGACATAGCTACCTATGTGTGCATGTAGAGTGCGTATATACTCCAAAACTAATGGAGTCATTGTTTGTTTTGAGTCTACCTAGCCATCTTTTGTGTGTATGTTTCCTACCTGCACAGTGTAAGTGGGATGTGGACCTTGGCTGCTACATCAGATGAATTTCACCTATTCCCGCGTGCAATGTCCCAGATGTTATGATGCTGACTGACCCAGTACCAAAGTTCATGTATCAGTTTTACGTTTCGGTACCATAGCTGCAATACCCTATTACCCATACACTTTAGTTAAAGACGCAAAGAAGAGCATTGTAAAGTGTAAAAATTGTATTGGTCTAATAATCCAAGTGAAATGGAGGGAAATATTACCCTGTGCTCAGCACAGAAATGAAATATAGGATATATATAAATCTGCTCTCTATCATGATATGAGGGTTAAAATTTACTGTCCGTGTGTGTGGCCGTTTGTTGAGTTGAATCTCATTCAACATGTCGTCTTGCAGTGTAGAATACTATGTAGCGGTTGTTTTGATGCAAAGTGTCATCGGTGTATAGTTGGGATTGTGGAGGGAAGAATATTTTCGGTTCATCTCTCTCTAAGTGACGGTACAGTACTACACACTTGCATCTAGAAAGAGGAGCTGTGTTTCGACGTGTCTTGAGGAACTGTAGCAACTAGGTCTTCCATTCACAGCTGAAAACCCGAGGAAGCACGGCTCAGCTGCAATATCTTCGTCACCGGAGCCCTCAGTCATGGGACGACTCTGTCGCAGTTTGAGTGCAACGTTTGCACCGTTCTGCATGGAAATCACCTCGAAAATATCGTTGCCGTTGGAGGGGATGCTTCCCTTTACTCTTCCGTTTGAATTGATTGTCAAAAACCAACCTCTGTCCTCGTACTTGACTGAGCGGATCGACACATGTTCCCTTCCTCCAATGTGCGCATACAGCACCGTGAACTGGGCAACCAGTCGACCTGTAAACGTAAAGGTGGAGAAAGATTATAAACGGTTGCGTAACACTGCAGTTTCTGCATGCACCCAATTATAGCTCACAGCTGTTAACAAGTTTCAGCTGATGACCTACCAAATTGAGTGTTGCCTTGCACGCGTCCACTCTTTGTGATAGCAACAAACTGCCCCGTGGCCAGGCTGAGGATGTAATGAACGGGCACGGGGGCCTCTGTCAATCTCTCTGAAATATCAATGTCTTCTTCATTTTCTTCTTCGGGAGGAGGTGCGACATCGGTCGTAATGGTCTCAAAATATTCGCCGTTCTCGTGTTGGCTGTTGTTATTACTGTCTCTCGCTGCTGCGTTGTCTACAGTTCCTGCAGCTTCTGAAGTTCCGTCGCCCCCCGGCGTGAGGGCCGGTGCAGCTGCGGCCGTGCGCTGCAACAGTGCGGCCGGTTGCGTCGAGAAGAGCGCCAAGATAATCAGCGTCAATAACTGCGACAATTGCATTGTATTTCTCTTGCTTTGGTGCTGAATAGTCACTAAATGTTGCAGGTTGAATCTCACGGCCTCTACTTTTATACAAGGCCCGCGGCACAAAAATGGAACGCTGTGGTATGTTTACATGTCCATACACCTTCCATAGCTGGAAGCCGGTGTAGTGGCAGCTTGTGTTTGCATATAGACCTTTAGGGCTGTGAATGAAGTCTAATTGAAAACAGAAAACCGCCTGCGTATCACCACATACCTTTTCGCTGGCGAAGGCGCCATTATCTGGAAATGTGCGCGGAGGGGTGCGTGCAAAGAGACTTTTAAAACACATTATAATAGATCAAGGGACATTTGAAGACTGGAATAACGATTGTAAGCAGAGTTTACACTCACTAAATAATGAGTGCAAAGGTTCATCACATTATTATCAATGGTTCATTGCATTGATGTGTCAGAGCGTAGAAAAACACTCTTTTAAAGGAATAACAGTGAATACAAGAAATCATGCTGCATGACTTGAAAGCGAGATGATCCCATTTTGAGCCGCGCGAGCAACAATCAAAGGTTTCAAAAGGTTTCAAAGTTTTACTGCACTACAAGCCAAACAATAATAGGCATGGCACGTTTTACACAAAAATAAAATTACTTGTAATGTCTATATAGCGTACATGAAAATATCAGAAGTATAATATAAAGCCCTGACAGGAGAGCTTACCCTCCCTCCATAGCTCTACATTCCTGCACGAGCCTGAGAGAATCTTGTGGTGAGTTTGAAAATATTTGGCTCCCAATGCTATTTCCGTCGTCAGACACCTTTGATAGAAGACTCAGTTTACGAATAAACATTCTCGCTGTTACTGAAGGCCACCTGAGAGCTCGAGCCAAACGACGCTTTTTACTGCGCGTGCGCAAATGGCAAGCTCACGTGATGTACGAAGCGCGTTGCGCATGCGTGGTAGGAGGTACGACCTGCTGCTGTTTTCTAACTGAACTCCTTGTTAGAGCAGCTAGTTCACTCAAATAAAGAATTCTTCAGATCTCAAAAAAAGGTTGGCTGTGTTCCACTCCCTGGCCAAACAGTGTCAATAGATGGAACAACGGTTTTGCCAAACACGTTCGGGCAATGTCTGACTATTATACATTTGTACTGCCCCTCCATCTTTAACACATAGATAGGGAAGTCTTTAGTCTTTGTTTCACCAAAGGATTGTGTGGTTTGGCTGGCTGTGGTGGTTACCAAGTTTTAACGATTTGGTTGCTGTGCTACAATGAATGCAGTCATATAAAATACCAATTCTAGTCTTGCAGCCACGAAATTTCTCGAACAAATTTGCTGGAGTTGCAGATTATTGGAAGGGGCACCTTTGGAACATCAAAGTTCCCTGTACTCAGTGCTTTTCATTATTTTGAGGTTTCACTATATATCTCGAATGATGTTGTATTAGGCGATTATCATAGCTCTAGAGCAAGGTCCCGTATACCATACAACATGAGAAGGCGCTTGGTAATATGCGCATGCGTGACTTGCATGACCATATCTTTTCTCTACAATAATTATAGTCTAGACTGAATTATTGAATGTTAAAATCTACCACCGGATCGGGTGGCAAAACAGTCGGCAAACTTCGTTGTGAGCCGTAAAGTGCATGCATAGTGTATAGCCGAAGTCTCCTCTTAGCTCTCATGACGTTGAGTTATATATCAGCCCTGGAGATGGAGCACACAGGAGAGTGCATTACTTCACTTCTCACAGGGAAGTAGAGCTTTCAGGAGTTGCGATGTCGCGCAGCAACTCCCCGATGAAAGTCGCTTGAAAATCGTATCCCAGCAACCCCATATCCCAGCAGTTTGTCATATCTTCTCTACATAACTTTGGTTCGTTCTAAGCTGCTTTACTGCTCTCCCATCTGGCGTCCTCACCTTCTGAGAGATATTAAAGCTCTTGAGAATGTCCAAAGACGAGCCACTAAATTCATTCTTAACAACTATGTTTCTAACTATCGTCTCCGTTTGCTCGACCTTCATCTCTCCTGCCACTAATGATGGTCCTTGAAATTGGTGATATTCTGTTCTTCGTAAAGGGCTTGAAAGAGCCATCAGCCCATTTTAACATTCTTAGTTTCGTCACATTCTGCTCTGGCCAAACTCGTTCAGCCTTGCACTTCAAGTTGAGACAAACTACTCCTATTTCTAATAACTCCATTCGTCACTTTTACTTTAACCGTCTTCCCCGCCTCTGGAACTCACTCCCCCTTCTTAATTTAGATCACTCCGTATCTACTATCAGGTCCAAACTCTACGAACTCTTTCGGAATCGTTTCATTACAAACTTCAATCCAGACAATCCATGCTCGTTCCACTACCTGTGTCCATGTGCTAAGTGTAGCTCTATCCCGATCTCCCCCAACTTTGACACCTCTCTCCTATGAACTAATCTCTTAAGTATGTTTGTTTTTGTTCAGTTATGTGTCATAGGCTGCTGGTGTATACCTCCAGCAGACCCTCAGCACTACCATCCTATTGCCATCATCTTACCTCTCACATCTCGTCTCTTTGTGTGCTGTAAAGTCTCAATAATAATAATAATAATAATATTGCGCATTTACCCGCCATTCAAGTGTGTTAATTCGTGCGTGTTTACGCAGAGTCTATTTATTACCCAGTATTCAATACTGTACACACATAAAGAGATAATAATTATAGCTACATAAAATTATGGTGCATGTGTATAAGTTATATAATATCATTGGAAAATTCCAAGTCTTGTTGCGGCTAATTCAGTGGAAGGGTAGCAAGCGGGTTCACTTTCGGGATTAGAAAACCCAAGATAGCAGTCTGTAGCTGTGACGGGGCGGAGAGCAACTTGACCAACACTGCCCCTCTCGTCTTGTCCGACCACCTCAAAGATACTGTTCTTATCGTCTGCCTTCCCGGCTCTGAATTCCCCGTCCTCAAATACAAGGTAGCATTCTTTTTCCGGGTTTGCCGACTTAAGTTGTATCATGTTGTCGGAGAGATAGTAGACGAATAGGTTTGCCTCGGGCGATCCTGACAAAGTGAAGAAATATTTGGTACACATTAGGACAGGCTCAGATGAATCGATACATGGCATAATGTAATTAACCCTCGACGCGCATGCGCAGCGAGGGTTGGTATAAGGCCTAAAAGCCCAGCCCATCAATTAGTGGTACCGCGCATGCGTAGTTCGCCGAGGGTGCTTTTCTGTTATATTGACCCTAAGCTCAGTATCCATTCTGCTCAGTTGATCATGCTTATACAGAATGGGCGAAGCTGCTCTATAAATGAGGTAGTGTTTAGGTACGGCTATATACGCGAGAATGTTCATCCACTATATATATAGCTGCTAAGTACGTCTTTGGGTTAGTGTAAGTAGCTAGCTAGCTATATAACTAAAATGCTTACCCATGTCAGCATTTGCGGACACTTTTCCGCTGGCACTAAGCGCGAGAAATCTCCCCGTCTCCTCTGCGAAAATAACACTCTGCACGCTGTCTGGTGCAGCCCGCGGTGCGGCAAGACTGGTGTGCACCGAGATGGATGCAAGTAGAGCGACGAAGACTGTCGATCGGATCATCGTAGTTTATGCTAGTGACTTCTCGCCTGGAAAATTGCCGTTTGATCGCATACTGCCAGCATTGTGCTCTTATAAAACAACGCCCGGCGCTCTCATGTCACGCTCATTATTACATATTTCCGTTGTGGATGACTTGAGGATGCGACAGTTATGTCGGGGCATATCAGTTATGACCACAACCTTCCGCTTGTCCGCCCACACTCTAGGTGGAACTTGCGCAATAAGCAGACGTCATTCACAAATTGCGCATGCGCTTAGAGTGGCGCGCAGAGTACGCACGCGCAGTTTGTGCCTTGGATGAACAATATTATTATGAGGAAGGTGAGGTTGAAATATCAACGGTCCCGCCCACCCTCCCTGTAAGGGTGAAAGATGAGGAGTATAAGCTAAGGGGTTGGGTTATGTTGCTGGTACGCAACAAGTGAGGAGAAAGAAGAAGAAGTAAGTTGTTCCTTCACTGCACTTACCCTAGGATAATGTATAATTATGTCCAGTTGACCATTGTTAATGTTTACTACATACACTAGTGATTACAACGTACCTCCACACAATGGCAAAACATGAAGCATGTCAATTGAAGCAAGCATGCAGGAACTGGTGCAGGGAAGCTAAGTTCAATCACAGGATGAACGTCCTTTTGAGACACTGAATCTCTTGAAGAGAGAAGAATATCCCTCCATGCAGGAAGTGTGTGAATTCTTCAGCATGAAGCTAGCTATTAATATCCTGTATGCTGTCATAGAGAATACATAGGACTCAACAACTCCTGTATTACTAATTAGGTAATAGGTAATATTATAACTGTAATAACAACAGGATAATATATGATATATATATATATATATTTATAGACAGATCTCAATATGTTGGTGCATGATAAATGATATTCTTCATTCTTGTAAGTGATAAATGAGGCCAATGAATTTTTTAATTTCACATTTAGTTATAGCAGGGAGTGAAGAATCGTACTTCAAATAGTGGGGAACCGTTCTCCGACAGTGATGAATAGCACATCGGCTTCCCCTCTTCAGTGAACCCCAGATAGCAATCCTTGTCCTCCATGCCCATCATCTCCACTTCTTGAAGAACACCTAAACCCTCCTCCTCCCTCCCCTCTTCCTCCACCCCTGAACCGAGCTCCGCCTCTTCAGTGCTGCTGTACTTGTGGTTCACAGCTTTGAGCGTGATGGCTTGACCGTCGGGAGTGTATTCCACTAGGAACACGTGGTTGTCGTCCTGGGGTGTGCCGTTGGAGAAGTTCCCGTTGTTGTACACCAGGTAGGTGTCGCTGTCTTGCCGCATGATGTGGACCTGGTACAGCTGAGGCAGGGTTGTGAGATCAAACTCAGTTGTCGCTCCTACAACCAAGAAACAAAAGCAATAATAGCATTATAATGTAGCATTTGAGAAATGCAAAACGAATCGATTTATAGGTGGTGTAGAGTATAGTTTTATACAGAGGTATAATAATAATATTATGCCGTAGCTGTGATAAATGCTTGCTAAGACTGTGCCCGTATGAAGGGTTCTCTACAAAGTATAGAAGTGAAAAATCCTGCAGAAACCCTCTCCTTATCAAGGATATGCTAGCTAAAGAGACTTAGTATTAGATTGAAATACTCACCACTGTCTTGGCCCAATGCTGTGACTGATCCGTTTCAAGCAGTTCCAGTTTCTGAAACGTCTTGTAAGATATGAACGTGCAGAGCGCTCTGCGTGAGGGCGCCGCATTGGCCAGGGGGCTCGTTGCTGCCAGTGCCGAGAACACTAGTAGGGCGGTGATGGTGGTAAAGGTATTCATTGCAGCACTAGAGTCTATTATATACAGAGTTGCAGGAGGGAGTGCAGATCTCTGATAGCTAAAACGATTTTGTAAAAATATGCTCGGAGCAGCGGCTTTTTATAACGCTAGCCAGGGTATGGGTATTGCAAAATGTTCCGTTAGTAGCTAATCTTTTTGGCATAGCTTAGGAATGTAATAAACTCCGACGAATATTTTGTGCAACCGCAGAACTGCTGCGATGGTAAAGTCCCATGCGTCCAGCACAGTGACTTAGCATTCTTCAGCTGGCTAGATGCGCTAACTGAAACCATTGTAAGTTGCAAGGACTTGCCGAGAATCAGTTAGTTTGTCGTTCAGGACGGCAGTGAACCGCGTCTGCTCGACATGTGCATCTACGTGTAGCTCGCGGGACACTTGTAGCGCGCGCGGTAGGCTGCGCAATGTGTTGATTAGCTACTCGCTTCTTTTGGAGAACTCCAAAGAACGAAAAATCTGTTGATTCAGCCGCGGGGGGTGATAAAAGAACAATTTTATATAGCTAAATTGGTTTGATCATGCACATAAGATGTTGGATGCAGGTTCTCGTGTGTGTGGAGAGACGGAACCCGTTGGCGGCAGTATACTGATGCAGAAGTAAAGCGTACTAGTGAAAACGAGTAGAGTTGAGCTAATGCTTGCAGCTTGAACCCATAGATAAGTCCGGCATTTCCTGGATTCCCCTCACTGCGTTGACGCAACTTCCGATCTTACGTACGTATAAAAGCTGAGCGCGATACTCGCTACGTTCAGTAAACCGAGAACAGTAGAATATCCTAGCAATTCTGAAAATCCTACAAGAAACATGATGAACATGACTCTCGCAGCTCTTCTCTCCACCGTACTAGTACTTTCAACGATGGTCGCTTCGGCGCCTGTACCGCCAACCGCCACGGTCGTCTCTATACTCTGGCGTGAAGCGCAGAAATTTCTTAGTCTCGCCGGCGAAGGACAAATTTCCGTCAGCTTCCAGGGGTCGCCACTGAACTTTCAGTACCTCAACAACGATCCAGCTAACACGCTGGTGCGAATCCAGGTCGTGAAACCAGGCGAGCCCTGTTTCATCACCTACAGTGCAGACAAGACGTTCGCGGTGGAGCGACCAGATAACGACAATGACGTTTTCCAACTGGTCGTTGCCAACAACATTGGAGGCTTCCCGATCTTTGCCCTCCGCGCCGTCAACCTGCACACACTCGTCGCCGAGCAGAGCGAAGAAGGATCGGCGTCCGGCACGGGACCCGCCGAAGGTGAAGACGAAACAACAGCGACCACCGAAGAGTGCTATTTAGGAATCAGAAACGCGGACAGTGAGGCAGAATGTTTTCCTTCCGAAGAATACGCAGCAACAAGGTTCTATATCATTCCCAGATGACATTAGTATTTACTAGAGATGAAGTATTTATTGAAATATATTATCTGTATATATTATATTTATCATTTATCACAACCATGTCACTTTCCAATTCTATATTCACTCATCCTACTTCACCAAAACAATCCTCTGCAATATTTATTTTTTTAACAAAACTCTTTGGCAAATTGAATAACGCTGAGTGGTAGAAAGCCAAATAGCTAAGACTAATTCTTTCATGTATTGTAGGTATATACATACATGTGCCTACTTTTGAGCAAGAAATAGCTTTGGAGTAGGGTAAGATATGTGTTTCATTCTCTTAGTTTCATCCAGTGAATGTACATGCGTGTGTTGGTAAAGGGTAGGTACATCCACATTTCCTAATATATAGTTTATTCAGACACTTTCATTGTACACATTACATCAGTCGCGAAACATTTAATCCAGTCCATTGAAGGCTGACATTCAACGATTGGCGTACTGTGATGCAACTGCATGTAGCACAGCCACAGAAACACAACCACAGCTAGAGTCAAACTCAAATGTGGCTTCTCACAACCTCACGTTTAATCCAGCAGTTTCTGTAGGGGAATTGGTTCATTTACGTGTCATAGCATAACCAGTTAACTGGAATGCAAGTAGCTATATACGGCATCTCCACATGAGTTGTTGTATGAACCCATTGCCATGAGGCAATGACTGAGAGTGCATGCAGGTCTTCACCTGTCATCTGGAGGCCCCAATTCATAATGACTTTCATCATGAACCATCTGATGCAAGTTGGACACCTTGTGATGCGTTTTGAGTGAGGAGATACTAAGCTACTTTGCCTATCAATTAGTAATCACCTGTGAAGAGAAGAATCGTGTAGCATCGGGCCCACACAGTTCATTTTCACTTCCCCTCGTGAACATACCAATATAATCGTTCTCCTAGCACAGACGCTATTTGGCAATACTAAAAGCGGAAGGCCGATGTGGGCAGAGGAGTATGTAGAGACATACTGGAAATGACCCCGCGGGGGCAGTCTAACACGAACTTATAGCGGGATGGGGGATCAAAGTGTTTACCGTGGCATAGCTGGTTCTCTATTATGCGCAGGTATTACTTTCTTTGCCTTTTGGCAGCCCCTTCGCTCTCGAGCGTTTCCACGGGTGAGCGCACGTGTATAATGTGTTCGCAGATCACTGGCTGCAGCTATAAGGCCCCGGTATTCCCGGAATACCAGAACTACGTAGGACGTATTATATAGCCTAGATTCCGGGGTCGCCGACTATAAAAGAGCGCGACCTCTACCGATGCTCATATATACAGCTATCGCTCTAGACCCCCTCGACCCACAACCACACAGTCTAGCTATACTTCGCAATCAAGATGATCGCAGCGGCAGTTTTCGTCCTTTTCTGCGCCTTTTCCCAGATGTCTCTCACCACTTCGATGCCCACACGAAGGCAGGCGACATTCAGTTACATATTTTCCAGGCAAACGTTAAAATTCGTGCGCTTTCTGGAAGACGGAACATTACTCGCAAATGGACAACCCGGTAAGTGAAACGCCCGAGATAATGTGTGGATTTGATCCCTATATAGTGCGTAGTCAGTGTAGTAACTCCAAACGGAGTTCTTTGTGATTTTATTTTATTTTCTCATACTTGCAGGTCACCCTGAGACCCAGATCAAAGTCCAATACCTTGCCAATGGCCAAGTGAGAATCCAGTACATGATGAACACTAAAGATTGCTACCTTGTGTTTGAGAACGGACAGTTTCGCGGTTCAACCCCAGTAGCGGGAAATGAAATCTTCGAGTTGGTCCAACATGACAGTTTCCAAAGTCTGCGACTTGTCAACTACATGGTCGAAGAAGAAGCGAGTTCAGGTTCAGGTGCAGAGGAGACCGAGGAACCAGCAAGCGAAGAACCAACTGGCACCACTGAGGCAGTTGAAGAACCAACTAGTACCACTGAGGCAGTTGAAGAACCAACTGGTACCACTGAGGCAACCGAGGAGCTAACTGGTACAACAAAACCAAGCCAAACACCGACAGCTACAGTATGTTACCTTGGATTTCCAGATGGGGAGAGTGCACCAAGGTGTTACGACTCGTACACTGATGCGGCAACAAAATTTGATATCGTGAACTTTTAAAAAAATTTTATTATTTATTCACCAGTCTATCACTTGCTATGTTTATTATATCAATTGAGATTTATTCACAGAGTTTATATTATATCATTCATACATGAAAATTATTTTCCTGGGCAAAACTGATAATCTTCTAATCATGCATGATAGCGAAATGCTTGCCAACTATCTATGAAGCAGTAATGCAGCGACTGCATAATGTTTTAGTTGGTGCCATAGAGTGGTTAGGGAATAACTGACCCATAACTGTCATCGGAGCATATTATTTACAGGATTACATAATGTCTGGCAACGTGGCATCTAAGGAGGCAAATAATTTCCTCCAGCCAAAGTAACCACAGAATTGTCAGTGCTGAAAGTCTGACATCAGACTTCTTTGAGTTAGCTTCAGACATCCTCAGTGTATGCACCTAGTTCCTGCTTCCTGTGAGCGAACGACGGGAAATAGCGCATGCGCGTAGATCTCATGCTGCGCGCGCGCGGGGGCGACTTTGCGCGCCAAAATCAAACTCGCCAATACTGTTCGCGTGTTAGAATCTCTACGCGCGCACGATCAATTTTTCTTAGCCATTTATGGACCTAACATCCAGGATATGTTTTACCAGTGCAGGTCTTCCATACCTACAGCTTACTCATGCCTATAGTATAACAGAATCCACTCTAGCTATAATAAATATCGGGTTTCATGGAACTGGAAATGAAGTCGAGGGTTAGGAAGTTTGATGCACGAAAAAGTCCCACCACTTACCCAATCTAAAGAACTTTGTGTATCAAAAATGTTTATCGCATTGGAATGGCAATCTTCTTTAATTATTGTCCACTGGTGGAAGTGACTGCACAACTTCCTGTGGGCCAGTGTCTCAACTGTGTCTAGTGGAGGGCAACATCCTCCTTGAGCAGGATAGATCTTGATGCTCCTTATTCAGGTGAGAATGATGATAGTGACCCAGGATGCATGAACTCTTAGAACATTAATACATACCGTTAACTTCCAGGCAGCAACCATGAGGCACCTATTTACCGACAGTCGCTATATTATATTTCTTATATGTTATATATATACACTAGATAATTGTCTCCAACCTCATTTTCATTTGCGAATTTTTTCGAAATCCATGAGCTATTATCATGGTTGAATTTTTACTTAGTGTTTCTTCAGCCTCTTTCCACCTGCCCCATTATTTTGTTTCTCTTCTCAGACATACCCATTTTAGGAATAATTCACCTTTACTACATTTGTTTTGTTGTTATTTGTGGGGTTTCCAGGCCAACAAACTTCCTGTATACCAAACTGTTTGATTACACATAATAATGTCGCTGTTGTCGAACAAACATCCCTGTTTTACGGCCATTTATGCACATAATACCTTCACTTTACCATCACATGTGACTGTGGTGTATATATAAAGCACCATGCTCTATCACTAATACGTGGAAGAGACATTGCTAATACAGTGAACACAAAACAAACACTTAAAGAATTCCCTGGGGTAGGTTAAAGATTTTGATCGCAACACAACTTTGAGAGAAAACGAGGGCAATTTTCCTCAAAGCATCGAAGAAAGTTGCCGAAATCAGTGAACTGTGGGAGTAGACAATCACGCGACTCGATACTAATTGACAGACAGGTAACAACCGCTTTCATATTGCCATGTATGTGGATATGTAGGACCACCCAATATAATAATTAATAGATAATGTATGTGCGTGCATTATATGGAAGATAAACACTTGTTATGCCAAACTGTGTCTCTAATTTGGCCAATTAGGGGAGATTACCCTTGTAATAAGCTCATGGAGCTACCGGTCACCTGCTTCTAGTCCAGCCAAGTGAAGCCAGGGAACGCACACCAAACGTCTCTTTTCCCATCTCGCTCTCATCCGTACTGCCGGAGGTAACGTTATACTGAACATGTTCGGCCAAGGGATGGGCGTTGCTCATGCACTGCCTTTTATGTTTTCTATTTGTACTTTGGTATTAGGGCACGGTACATTGTATGAATGCGGCACTGCGGGGTAGTTTATTCTCAACAATGGAGATAGACACGTAGGATATGCGTCGCACTGCCTGAGATGGCGCAGACACCACTTGTTAATCTTCCAGTGCCAGTATAATTATACATACATGCATGCAATTTGCACCAATAGCACGATACTGTTGCATTTTCCTCTCCGTGAAGATATTCGCCAGTCAACAAATCCATTTACATACGTCTTTCGTGATAACATAGATCAGATTTATATATAATAATGCTGGTGAACTGGATATGATATGATTATAAGTGACGGAGAAAGGTGCTTATGCTGGTAAAAAACCAGTGAAAATAAATATAAAAAGCTGTGATAATGCAGAGTGGCATATAGTCTTGTATATGATTTGTTTTGAAAAGCTGAACCCTAAACATAATTTTTTACTTTTACTCTTCTTTTGGCCCTCATTCGTGAGGTATCATGTGCATTCTGACGTGGACACTACTCGTGTCGCTGTAGCACTGCGCGCGCCCGTACGTGCGGCCTAGTTCGTCTGAGAACCCCAGGTAGCACTCTCGTGGCGGCTCCGTCGACGCCGCGTCCTCCGAGTGGGGCACTGAGAAGTCCGCCGTCGTCTTCTCCGATGCTGGACTGAGTCCCGAGCCCTCAAAGGATCTCGAGATTCTGTCGTAGTTGACGAATCTGAGCGCTGTGGAACCGTCGGGTAGGTGTACTTCTTCTATAACTTCGTTCTCGCCGTCCGGCACTTGGGCGCGGATTTTGTCCTCCGGCGTCACGACCAGAAACCAACTGTTGCCCGCGTACTTGACGGAGGCTATCTGCACGTGGTTCGGTTTGCGGTAACCTGCCGACGAAGAGAGGAGTTGCGTCTTTATCTGCGGTTTGGGGAGAATAAAGTATACATAGCTAGCACACGTGGCTCAAAAACCGCAAGAATATTACTACACAGTTTTCATTTACCGGGATTTTCAGTGTTGATGTCGCCGTTCGCATGCACCCGTCCGCTCTTGGTAATCGCCAAGTAGTGCCCCGTCACCCTGCTGAGCAGTCGATGCTGTAGCGTCATCTGTACCGGTCGTCCGTAGCTGGATGTAGCGGCGCAGAGCGCCAGTAGAAGTTGCAAAACTAAGTGGGAAATGCTCATTGTATTACGGGATTCGTGATCTAGTTGTTCTTGCTGCTGCGAATATTCACTAACGGAAAGCCTCAAATCGAACACTGAGCTTCCATGCAGCCTTTATCAATGTTCAATCGTTGCTCTTTAGGGTCATCGGGTATTTTTAGACCTCCAATAGTACGAACGCGGAAGTGATATCACAGCACATGATCATTAGCAGATTCCCTATCTGTGTGCGCGTGGGAAGCCTACGGAATGCAACCGATTATTGCCCAACATTTCCATATGCGGAAACTCTACGGAGGCGTGTCTCCGTAAGTCACCAGCTATAAAAGACGATTCACCCCAGTCTACTCATCAACCAATTCACAGGCAAAAAGTATAGCTAATCATTCACAGCTTATAAAATCCAACAAGAATGTATACTCATCTAGTTTCTGGTCTCATTCTACTATCGCTGGTAGTCTTCGAAGCCAGCTCAGCGCCCGTCCAGCCAAAGTTCAAGATTCTCAGTCTACACAGCGCCAAGTTTGTGTCTTCCACACAGAACGGCGACGTCCACGCAAAGGCCGGAGACACGAACGACCCGTCTACCGATTTCTACCAGCACACTCGAGAGTTCCCGAAAGTCAGCTACGAGAGCGTACTGAGTCCTGGGAAGTTCCTGATCCTGGACGAGGAAACGGCTCAGCTTCGCGTGGAGGAGCCGCGGGACGGCAACGAAGTATTCATGCAGGTCCAGCACCCCCTCAACTACGGGCTGTTTGCGCTCAAGTCGTACGGAAGCCGCGCCGACTGCTACGTCGCGTTCGACCTTCACGGCGCAGTCTCCACCGACCCTCACATCTGTAACGAAGACGAACTACACAGCGGTCACGGTCTAGCCACGTCAGTCCATATACTTGCTATGTAAAATGATAGCAGATTTGTACGTAACGATCAACCACCATTATCACTTCAGAGAGTTTTATCAGTATATCATCGTCACCATTCTATGAGAGATTTCAACAGATTTATTTATATTTTTATCTTGCAACAAACATTATTCATTGTCAATATCACTATATTTATACAACCAGATGCTTCCGACAAAAAGTATTTGTTATTGTGTTCAGTCATAACAAAACAAACTTCAAAGCACAGCTGATTTCTATACCGTGCCGCCGGTGATCAGCCTATAACAACATTAGCTTAGCTGGTATAATATTGAAGCACGTGCACTGCTAGGTTTGGCAACCGCAAGGGCTGCCGCGCTTTTATCGAATTAGTAATCGGCAGATTCAGGGCTGGTCGAGCTACGACACTACCTCATTATATCGAAGAGAGAGAATCCAGAGAGGCGGGAGGCTATACAGAGACAATGGGGTCCCTCCGCTTCTTCTTCCTGGTAATGGCCGGATTCCTCGCATGCACGGAGCACGGCGCAGCGATGATGATGGACGATATCGTGATGGTGCCCCGGGTTCTTCAGTACCAGTTACTGAGTTCATTCTCTGGACGATTCGTCGGAGTTACGCCAGACGGGAGCATTCACGCCATGGGTGACATAAGAGGTAAAAGTACTGTAGCGTCATGCATATCGTTTTTTCAACTCTCGATTTTGTAGATCCCCGGACAAAATTTTTTCCTCGCTTTACAACTGAAGGAAAGTGGGCATTTGAGTCTGTCTGTGATAGAGGCAAATACATTGTGATGGAGAAAATAGTGACGGGAAATCGTACCGAAATAAAGTTTCGACTGGGAGTCCCAAGAAACAACAGCGAGCTTTTCGAGCATATTGCTCCATTCTCTGGGTTCTCTGCATACAAGTCTAGCGGAATTGAGCCAGAACACTGTTACATGGGCTTTGATTCGTTTGGAAACAGATACGGAGAGCTTTTGTGCCAAGTTGACACAAGTCACATGTCCACGATCATCATGCATATAGAGTCTGTCGATGTAACTAACTGCCAATACACACAGCTCCGGTCAAGCAAGATTGAACTTTGAGATTTTTTTCCAGCTCAGTAAACATTTTGGCTAGCTAGTCTACCTGTATTTCATTTCAGAAGTGATTTATTAGTAGCTACTTTCATAGTTTTGTAGAAGTGAAAGCACTTAAGTTTCAGAAGTGAAAACAATGCAAGTTGTTCGAAATGCAAGTTGCGACACGCACGTCATGCCAGCGAACTGCACACTGTGTCCCCTCAACATTAATTGTTGGTATGAGTTTGTTTGCACACATTTATGGTAGCAGAATTCTAATCATACATAGTTACCATACCGCCAGCTAACATATTGCAAAACTGTAACTCCTGCAATCAATGCTTGTTGCAAAAAGTAACTGAAAGGTGGCGGCAAATAGACTTGTGTACTATACTTTTTAGCACACATTAATTAATTAATAAGAGGTGGGGGGAAATTAAGACCTTCTCTAAGCTTTTCTTCCCCCAGAATAGTTCTTGCAACCTCTGATTTATGAGGTCTGACCACTTTTTTCGCTTTGGGAGGATTCCACTGTATGGCTAGGTAGTAATAAGAAAACTGCTGTTGTCTGAACTACACAAAGTGATCGACTCGTCTTCTGTGTGGGTGTTGCACTGACCCACAGCCTTCCTGTTGTCTACCGCTACCTTCCTCTCCTCTGGTTTCCTACAATAGTATTTATACTCCTTTGCTTTGTGTGCATCTGCTGAATCGTATCAACACTAATTCATTATTCCATAGCTCTGGCATAATCATATTATACTCAGGATAATAATGAAATGCGGATAATATACACAACAAAGTACTTGCAATGAATGATCTGAGTGCTTGTATATAATATATAAATAAACATTTTTGAGTGATAGTTGATGTCTGATTGGATGAGTTGACAATAAGCTGACAATCTTTTAGAGACAGATGAGTCTTATAATTATAAAATGCTCTAGTCACCTCTTTGTCAGTTATGAAGCCTGGAGAACAGCGCCTTAGCCTCTAACTCCTCGTGTGATAGACATGGGTTTTTGACTGGCATACCGTCCCCTTCGAACGCCAAGTAACACACTTTGCCGTCCGCGAGCATGACGCTGTAGCGGTACAAAACGGAGGACCCGTGGGGGATTCTCTCCTCCGTCCACATGTGGTGACGGATCATTCCCGCCTCGTCCTCGCCGTTGATGTCGTCCAGAACGAGAAATACTACGGGAAACGCCTCGACTACCTCTACGGTGAGCGTCGTCTCGTTCGCCGAATCGATGTCGTGGACGTCCGTCTCGTTCAACGTCGTGTTCAACGTCGCGTTGTTGTCTGCTCGCGGCATTTCGACCGGTACGAGCTGCACAAAGTGGAGGTAGCTACCGTTTTGGTCGACGCTGGTCAGGGAGAGATTGTGGCGAAACATAGCGTCGGTTCTCGAGCTGCCTTCTCGAAGAAAGAACATTCCTATATTTGCGCCTTGAGCAACGGTAGCTGTAACATTTCCATCTGGATACAGGTGTAGTGGGAAACCAGTATTTTGTGAGAAGAGGAAGTCGGGAACCTGCCGTTTTCCAATCTTCCGTCGTCCATCCTGCAGTCTTGTGATCGGTAGTGCGACTGAGCATGCTACGAGAAGAGCCAGTGCGAGGCATACCATCTCTCTCGTCTGGGAATACATTGCTTTGCGATATCCGTATAAGTCGATTCTCTCGTTTAGTGAGCTGTTTCGCTTCAGTGAAATCACTTGGAGTGTAGCACGAACCCGAGTCGGTATTTATACGGTGATAAATGCTGCGCGAGCCTCCTCCGCGTCTGCTTGCGCGTGCGACTTCCAGAGAAATTTACCACGCACGGCGTCAGCGTGGTTCCGGACGCAGGGGACATCGCAGTCGGGCACGTTTGAGATAATTTTTGTAAATTAGGTCCTAGATACTCCCAAATCTTAGGTGCGACCACTTTCAAGTTGAAAAATCCCTCTAATAATTATTATTCGGTTTATGCAGTCATCATGCATCTTCGCAGTAATGCGCATGCGCAAACATGCCCGCGCGTTGTTTTGGAAACAGTAAGCAATGGCGGACGCGATCTTCTCCAAAGGCGAGCAATGCCAGCAAGACTGGTCCTCGGCGAACGCCGACTACAACAGCGCGGACACGCACCTGGAGATCATGGGCAAGCCTGTCATGGAACGCTGGGAGACTCCCTTCATGCACAAGCTTGCGAGCATCGCAGCCTCGAAAGGGGGACGGGTTCTCGAAATAGGTTTCGGGCTCGCCATTGCTGCATCTAAAGTACAGGAGTTCCCCGCCGTCCAGGAGCACGTAATTGTGGAATGCAATGACGGAGTCTTCGCCAGACTGGAGGAGTGGGCCAGGAACGCAAAACGAAAGGTGGTCCCGCTCAAAGGAATGTGGCAAGAGGTCATTCCGGGGCTACCCGACGGGACCTTTGACGGGATTCTCTACGATACGTATCCACTCTCGGAAGACGCGTGGCATACGCACCAGTTCGAGTTTATACGCAGCCATGCGAACCGGCTCCTCAAGCCGGGCGGTGTCCTCACCTACTGCAACCTGACTTCATGGGGCGAGTTCATGATGGGGCAATACACCGATATAGAAGTCATGTTTCGAGAAACGCAGATAAAGCATTTGGTTGAATCAGGTTTCAAAGAAAGCAACATTACTACCGAGGTCATGGATATTCAACCACCCGAGTCTTGCCGTTATTACAGCTTTGGAAAGATGATTGCACCCACTGTGGTCAAAGGGGAGTAGCTAATAGGACAATTTGGCTCCCACCCCATCAGACAATAAGGATAGATTAACTGATACTGTTATATATAAGGGAAGGTCTCGCCAAGCATCATGTCTTCTTATACATAACTTTTATTTTGAGAAGCATACCGTTTAATCAACACCATACACAAAAGGTAGATGCAAGCAAATAAACAATTACACAGCAAGGAATAAAAATGAACACGTGTAACTACGCAGCAAGCGAAGTTTGCATAGTTCAGAGCACTTTGGGTACGGATAGCTCCATGGACGTGTAAAACAGCAAGTATGCTGCAGAGCTCTGTTGGGGAACAATAAAAGTTGCATCACTTGCTCTCATGCAGTGTTGTGGAGTAATTAGCCACATATTTTCATTTGGAGCACTAACCTTTACTTGTCTCTGGGGCACAGCTGTTATCTCGTGATCGTCAAAGTTGTAAAATTGTTTGGTTGATGGATTAAAACAGGCTGCTGTATCTATAATGGCAAAATCATTTCGTTATTCCACACCGCAAAAACTATTTGCCTCCTCTAGTAAAATTTGTGTTTCAAAAAAGTATCTGACATTAAACAGTATTAAGCGATGCTTGAAAAAAACTTACAGTGTCCCCCTGTAAGCGATCCAAAGTGATTCTGGGAAGGAAATATTTGACAATTAAACATGGTTATGGCTACATGTAATATAGGGCCTCAATACCCATTCTCTCCAACCATTTCCTTCCTGTGGTGGTGACCTGGATACTCCACAGACTGTCCACCTATCACACTTCCCGGCCTCCTCAACCTCCTTTTGTCAAGGCCCGATGCCCCTCGATGCCCCTCAACGCCCATGTGAATATTCAACAACCTTATGAATATCATGCCAAGGTATATACTCATTGGTGACAGCTACATACGTAACCACAAGGCAGCCTCAATTCCCAAGTTCCCAAGTTCCCACTTGCGTGGGCAAGGATGGTATGTCTTAGCAAAATCCGGTTTACTCAAGTACAATCGGAAGTGTAAGCTGATCTACGCAAGGGAATTAATGAGTATTTATACGTTTACCTTGATGACGAAAAAGATCACTAATTAGGTTAAGAAATAACGTGCATTACAATGTGTGGTAGGTGAAGGGACTCTATTACAGGTATTAGATTGACACCCTTGGCTCATTCCAGACAGGGTGTGAGGGATCTAAGATCCAGATGAAATTCTACTTAGACAAAACATGCGGAAAGTAATTGGTTATGTCTCGTATTAACAGTGGTGGCAACCCTGCAAGCTCAGAATCCAGGCACTTGTGCATGCATTCTAGGCACTTTGCGTGCTTGATTCAGTGGTACACACCAACCCTCCGTTCCATCGGATCGACGCTGAAATTCAAAGCATGCACAACGCCCTTACTTTGCAGTATGCACGTTATATGATAGAGTATCGTGATAGAGTATTATGCGTGCATAGTGTGTTTCAAATGTGCTTACCGAGACTCCGAAGAGCCGGTATTCTTGAGGGCCGTCAGTCCCTCCAACCACATCAGCAGACATGTTGAGACCACTAGAGAGAGGTGTGGGACAGTACAGTGGGGGGAAACCAAATGGGAATCTCTAGTATCTGCGGCATTCTCTACTACGCCTGCCTGAGCGAGTCTCTCATTATGCTGACTAATCAGTCTGCCTGTCTATAGAATTACGTCTGGCGAAAAACACAGCAACTTCCATTAGTATGTCTGCAAACTTGATCAGCCACGAAATGTAAATAGAACGCTGCGCAGATCGCTGGTCTTGGCCTTGGTCGTGAATGTGTGGGTGGCGTGGACTACGCCAACTACGTAGGTAGTACACAGAGGCTGGTTGCTCTCTCATGCATGGGGTATCAGGTTACTCAGCTGAACCTTTGCGTTTGTACAGTTGACCATACGTCATTCCATGTGTCCAGAGACACTTACTACGATAAAGCCAGTGTCTGGTAGGCTCCAAATGCCAAGTCAAATACCTCAGATTGGTTGACGCCATTTGTACTACAAAGCATTCCTCGATTCTTATTAAGGTTTCTTAGCCTACTCTGCAAGTAGCCGGCACACAGGGCACACAGGTTCTGAGGATCTTTCGGTACAAGGGGATCGAGGGAGATACAAAAGGTGCTGTAGCATGCAGAGCCGGTGCTAGCGTCAGGTTATTCAATTGACAGATCTCTTCTGAAGGAAAGAGGACTACCCACATCCCCTTCTTTAGAAGTTTGCTATTCAAACAGAGGAAGAGGTGTACGTATATACTCAGACAGACAGGAACTGTGTCTGTGAGCTTTTTGTAGCCCGACCAAACCAGTGAGATACATAGAGGTGCTGCTCGTACCCCACACGCTATGCATCGTGATGTGACCTATAGCTACAAACGCAGCACATACCTAAACAACAGGGTGGGGCCACACCCATACTTACAACGTGGGTACGTACGTACGTAATATGCCAGTGTTTACTTTAGGTGGCTATTCATGCACACACACACACACCATATCACAAACGGAAAACACCTGCTTTTCCACTATTGCCCAACATCCCATGCCTTACAACCCAGGCTTTAGGACAACAGGTAGAGAGACAGGTGGCCCCCCAAAGCACCACACTCATCATGTGCAAACATGCAGTCACATCAACAGTTACGTATAACACAATGAATGATGCAACACATACAACGTGGCAAGCTTCAGTGGATGCATGCCGCAGCCGCACCCACGTCTTGTGTTTAAGCTGGGACTGCATTGTCAGTGCTGCTCGGTGCTAGCCTAGGCAGCAGAGGCTCACGCTGTAAAAGGCGAGGTCTTGAATTCAGCCCATTCCGACTCAATTGAAAAACATTCTTGCAGTCTCGTAGGTGGGTCTGTTTGCACACACATGTGATGCAGTAAAGCATGCAGTTGAAACACACACATACGTATATAGATCCCTGTGCAGCAGTTGAGTGGGTTGATCAATACCTCTGCATTTGCTACTGCATACTACTTCTTGAAGCACATATCAAGAAGATAAGCGTATAGTACCTGTTTTTAAACGAAGTAGCCTTTCAGTTAGTGGAGAAGCTCCTAAGTCTTATTCCTCTAACATGTTATACTCCATGCATATGTAAAGCAAACTGTGAGGGCCAATAGCCAATTCCCCCTCCTGAAGCCTGGCACTCTAAAGACATACGTAATATCCCGCAAACACATCCATACAAGCCCCTTTGAAGCAAGTGGAGCTACAGGAACCAACATATAAGGAAAAACAGCGGGTATCTTTTGGTTTCAAAGTCAAAGTGAAAGGTTCCGACTGGGACTACTAAGAAAGCAACTACCCACACACCTACACACACACAGACTATCCAGCTACCAGTCTAAACACTCTGTTACTGCCAAATGTGGCCTACGTACATCACCGTACTGTGAGGACATAGAGTAATTGAGAAACTCTAAGCCATGGGCGAACCGATTTTCTTTCCCAAAAGACGGCACACCAAAAGTGTGTTTAAAAAGCACATATTTATACAATTCTGGGTATTTTTCTTGGTGTGGATGCACTGCAGTCTTGCCAACCACCCAAAATGTGCTCCACTTTGACAGGCATTCTGCCGGAGAATTGCACACACACAGAGATTGCACAACCTTGGAGCTGACAGGCTGAATTCTTGCACAACAGCAGAGAATGCTACAAAAGCCTGGCCAAATCTTGAATTCCAAAAATGATTAGTTCTGTTTGGCTCAAAACAAGGGAAAGACAAGTCTTATGTCTCTGTTCACAGAAAGCGTAATGTTAAAAGGCACCATAGTACCTTTGCTTCGTAAGATGCTGTATAGATCTCACAATACAGAGTTCCTATCCTTATTCTCTATGCACTGTTACAGGATGCAACATCACAGGCTGGTGTAAGACACAACCCCTCAGTTGGCATGCAAGAACCACGTCTAAACAAGCGTGCGTGGAAGGAATTGCAATATTTTGCAGCTGACCTGTTTAAAACGACCAAATACTGAAATGCGACAGTAATTCTGACGAAACGTCAAAAGGCTATGAAGTAAGGTGCAGACAGTGACGTAAAGAAGGAACGGTACAGGTAAGTTCCCATGCAAAAACTATGTCCATGCAAATGTCAGCCGGGAAGCTAACTCGTGTTACGGCAGCCGGTATGGCTGATATTCATAGCTTTCTTAGTCACCGAGCTACTAAAGTTTACTCAAGAGTCTCACCACCGATATAATATTAAAGCGCTACCGAGTTCAACGGTCTACAGATGATGTCTCCCATACGGTAAGTTTATCTTGCTGATTGCATTATGTGTACGTACGTACGTGGGTGTACCAGGGATGTTGCCAAGGGGGAGATGTTGCCAAGGGGGAGTATGCTGCACCCTGAAGCAACGGAAGCTAGTACGTGAGGCTAGAGAGCTGCCATAACTGTGTAGCTACTGTCACTGTCGCTAGGGCTCCAAAGAATGGAAAGTTAACAGAGAAGAATGTATATACATGAGTGGCGTGGTATTTTCGTCTGATATTTGCAAGCACGTGTGATTAAAAAGAACACTTGCCGTAAGTGATGCCGCATGCATTATGGTGCAATAAGTAAATGTCCTATGCACACACATAGACATCATGGTTAAGTACATGGTGCATGGACACAATAGTGCATGCATGAATCACTGGAGTTAAAACACAAGAAAAGTGAATGTCGGCCTAAGATTACACAACAATCGACTGCACTTACGTGAACGGAAAATCGACAAAGTTTTGTTTTTTCTGCCTCCAGACTCCGTCATAAGAAAACCTAGATGAAAGAAGATGCCAGTGCATGCAAGCACACGGAGAAACAGCTAAGGTGTGTGCACCGAGCTAAAAAGGCTAAGAGCGTCTGTGACGATGTGGCAGTTAAACCTTTTCAGGTGGATGAGCAGAATTGCAGGTAGTTTCCAGATCTCGATTCTTTTGCTGGCATCACGGTGCTGTTTGCACGAAGAGCAGTACCTGATGATAGGATAGAGAGGGGGGGAATTGACACGGGACTCAAAAACAGCAAATGTGCGGGTTCACGATTGCCAGCAATAATCACTTTGATACGCAGCCGTTGAGAAACAGGTATATACAACTGTTTTATGGCATAAAATGTTAAAACAGAAAAATTTATATAGCCACCACATCAACGCTTTCCACAATATTTCAATGGTCTAACAAGACGGCATTCCTAGTATGGCACGGAGGAAGTGAATATAGAATACTACTTTGCCTAACAATATGAAGCGTTCTAAATAATGGTAGGGTGTCCCAAGGAATGGTGCAGCAAGGGACGAGAGAGGAAAATGAAGACGGAGGAGGGGGGATATCAGTGAATGGGTTGTATAGGAAACGCATCCTCAGTGAAGCTCAGTGACTACTGAAGGTTCATCCTGGCTGTTGGTAAACAGAATCTACCAGACGTAACAGAATCACAGAGCCTTCCCCTAGTGTTGTTGTACCTAGCCAACTCATCCAGCCATGGACACACTCCGTAAGTAAAACCATGTGACAGTACACGACCATAGACTCAGTCTCAGATATCAGACACTGTGACACACCTGCTTAAACCCCTTCCTGAGAGCAACCTTACAGACACACAGACAAGCCTGCCAACTCAGAAATGGGTGAGATTCCTTGCGTCCTTATCTAGCAGGAATAATCCACACACCCATGCATAGGCGGGTTATAGTGATGCCGTCTGGGCACATACAATACAGAGATAAGTGACCAGGTGAGACGATAGAGCTTTTCTCTGTAAACAGATGGTGTAGTTGTATACACGTGGGCACCAGAAGTGTTGTCAATAGCACTGGCAGATGGTGGCGCGCGGGGACGCAAACAACAAACAGGAAAATTGCACACTTTTTGAAAGGTGCAACTACAGCACGTCAAGGAGGATACGCTAGTATGTAGTATACGCTGAGTGACAGCTGAGATGGTAGGGCCTGGTACACAGTACACAGGAAGTACAGCACAGCAGACGGGAAGCTAGCTACCCCCACCTACACGTGAATGTCCCTAAGGCTCTTCTTGCTATACGTAGCTATATTAAATTCATAGTATAATATACTTGGTTCTTTAGGCTTCCAGGCTTTTCACTGTGCTAGAGTCAGAGCAAGAAACAATTCCACCATTATGTCTCTCCTATCTGCCTATGTACGTGGGACACCTATGTTCTTCGGCCCTGAAGGCTTTCTACGAGCTATACTGAAGCCAATACATCTATGTCATATCTCTAGCTATGCACGCACTTTAGGGCCTACAGGCTTTCTGTTTGCTAAGCATCCTCACATACTTCTATAACAAACACCCCTCAGGCTCTCCGCGCATGTATGTGCCAAATGTGGCCCTGCATTCTCCATGCTAATTAGAGGCAAATTCCTTCAGACTCAACGCTATACACTCATAAAGGATACCTTTCCCTCTGCACATCCGTAAGGCCAAGTTTGTGTGCTTCCCAAATGAAAGCTCTGCAGCTTCCTTTTTGTATTAACCCTTCGGACGCCATGGGTATTTTCTTGAAATTGATGTACTATAACGTATTAACGCCTAGTATTATAGCCATAGAGAAATTATTGTGGACTTATGGAAGCTCTGGGCATATGTATATATATGGCCGTGGCTGGCTAGTTATTGAAAATCCCCATCTTCTTTCCCCAAAGCAACCAGTGCTCTAAGCTTATGAAAACCATAGGCCGCCAGCATTCACTTTGATAACATTCCTCTCCAGCCATACAGAGTTAAATTCTGGGAAAAAGAGTAGGATCATCACACCAGCGAACTTTTGATTTCATCTTGGGTGTCTAGTCTCACAATTAGGAGGGAAAATCTTCCTCCATTTGTTTCCCAGTCACTGAAACCAGAGCTAATCTATAGTATGTATGCACGTCTCCAGCCAAACCACCCACATTTATGAGTATGTATGCTCATGCATGAGTATGCATAGGATATGTACGTAATAGGTCATAAAAATACGTAAGAGGGAGTAAATTCCTTCTTTTTAAGAAAGT